GTGAGTTGCAGAAGGTTGGGATGAGTTCCAGGAATTGGTCCTTGGGTTCGAGTCATGTGGACTCCCATTTTTGGTAGCTTTAAAGCCACCCAAAGGATGCTCGACTGTTGAAGAAGCACTGCCTGAGGGGTTCCAAGATAGGGTTAAAGGGAGAGGGTTGGTTTACGGTGATTGGGTTCCACAAGAGCTGCCATTGAACCACCCAAACATTGGGTGTTTCGAGAACCACCGTAGTTATGGATCAATGTGGGAATTTCTGCTTAGTGACTGTCAGATCGTGCAGATTCCTGAAAATTTTGATCAAATTCTGAATACAAGGTTATTGGTGAATGAACTCAAGATTGGCGTTGAAGTGGACAGAGGTAAAAACAGGCAGATCTCAAAGGAGTCGTTGAGTGAAGCCATCAAGATGGTGATGGACAAGAACAATGAAACAGCTGAGATGTTGAGGGCAAACCATGCCAAGCTGAAGCAAACACTTTGTAGCAGAGATCTTCAAGAAGAATATATCAACAATTTCGTTCAAGCTCTGCGAGATCTTGTCAAAAAATAGTCTTAAGATGCAAAATCCAATGTAGAATCCAAGCTCGGTGTAGCAGAGTTTATGGTGTCATATTCTTTAATGAAGATTCCTAGCTCTGTGTTGAGGTGTTCTTGTATGTTCGGAACTTATTCTAGACTCAATATTGATTTAGGATCTTATTCCTACTTAATTAATAAACTTAAACCGGCAATATATTTCATGTCCGAAAATATCTTCACTAAAATAAATATATATTGAGTTTTTAATGTCTCGTTGATTCGTTTCAAGATACATTAAAAAGCTAACTGAAAGTTGATCATGTTTCAAGAATACATCTTCACCTAAAAATGCTCGAAGTCCATCTGAACGTTCGTTGGAAGTAAGCTGATGTTTCAAACTAAAATCTTCTTCAATAACAATATTTGGGCCTTTAAAAAGGTAAGTTGGACCAAAATTGGGTATTACAACTTATATCGTTTAAATGGGATAACAACATTTCATATATATCAAGTCTAATTTATGATAAAGTCAATCATAAACATGTTGGTATATTTTATAATTATGTTATAATTAGTGCATCTTATTTTTTATTATCCATTGGTGTGTTTGTATATTTTTATTAAGAATTATCTGGCTAATGTGATTAGTATACTTTTAAGTTTTAGAGACTCTTTTATCTTGAGATTTTAAACTTTTGTTATATTTATTCTTTATGTATAATAAACTTTTTTTAGATGAATATGTGCTATCATTTCAAAACAAACCAATACACCAAAACTGTAACATCCCAAACTACGGGTTAGTGACTTTATTGTAAAGTTTCAGAATTTGTTGATTTAAATAGGAATATTTCAGTTGGATTAAGTGGTGAATATGAAAGAATTAAAAGGATAGTATGGTAATTTAGCTTAAAAGATATTGTCATCTCTCTATTTAGAGAGATACACGTGGAAGAGGAGATAATTCTTCAGAGTTATCTTCTCCTTTTTGTTCTTCATACGTGAGGCTTGAAGCATGAGGTGAGTTTTCTGATTTTTTTTTGGTTATTTGTTAAAATAAAAGTTAGGTTTTGATCATTAGAATATAACTAAGCTTAAGGAAAGCTTAAGTTGTCTTATAATCAAAATATGAAGAAGTTATAAGAAATTAAAGAAAACGGTTTTTTATATGAAATTATGGAAAAGAGTTGATAAGTTGAATTTGAAGTTAAATTTGACTTGTCATCATGCTAATTAAGGAATATGAAGTGTTAGAATTGTATTTAGAACATATTGAAATTTGAGTATGATTCTTGATTACATATGAGAGATAGGATTTTGAGGTTTGGATGGTTTCATGGATATAATTGGTTTAAGTAATGGTGGTTAGGTTTAATGACATGGTAGGGGTTTAAAATAGAAGAATTGAATGAAGAATTGATGATTTTCAGGCTTAAAATACAATTTCTGGGTAGAGGGAACTGATACCCTATGAATGGGTATCGATTCCCCCCTCTTGAACGAAAAATTCCAGTATGTTCAGGGGGTATCGATTCCCCCTTAAATGAAAAATGGAATTTGGTTCTTTAATTTGGTTTAAGTTGTTAACATCAAGTTTAAGGCTTAGGTTTCTTATAGTTGTTTTGAAATGTTATATTTATGTAGATATTGAGTCTAAACAAGTTCCGGAATAATCAAAGGATTAGGATCGAATCAAAGCAAATAAGGCTAAGGTAAGTGCAATTTTAATGTACTTATATTATTGACGAACATGGCTTGCGATGAGCTAGTGATGGAGTTACTATGGTAAGAGTGACTCCTAAAATGTTATTTGATTTGTGATTCTTATATGTGCATGAATACATGAAATGGGTATAGGTTATTATATATGTTATATGATATGCATAGACATAAGAGCATAAAACATAAGATATATGATATGATATACATGATTATATCCATATGTGATATATGCTATGAGACATGACCAATGTGAAATGAGATAGGCTATGTGATATGATATGAAATACATGGTTACATATGTTGTATGTGACAGAAAAGAAAGAACATGTGATGAGAAATGTATCATCGTAAATGCCCATAGTATATGATACGAGAGCTATAGGTATAGTTGGCATGCCAATAGTCGAGGGTATTGTAGTCCTTCGGAACGTAGTGGTCCTACGAGACATATATAGCAATCATTTGGGACGAATACTGAACAAATGTTTGGTGCCCATGAGGGAATTTATACGAGCTGTGGTGACAGCATTAGTGCACAACCTCAATGTACTCACATACCTTTGTTCTCAACAGCAATATACATGGGCAATTGAAATATAAATTAAAGTGATTCAAAAAGGTAAGTTTTCATGTGTGCATGACATATGTATGCATGTTACATGTTTGATGTTATTGCCTCACTAAGTCTATGACTTAGCGTGTAAGTGATTTACACGTAGGTACCAAGAAACGAGAAGAACAAGAATAGAAGTAGCAAGGACAATATTATTACTAGAAGATCAGATCAGAAGTAATCGAAAAAGTAGGTATTTTGTTGTGTATAGAGTGTTGGCATGTAATAAGTCGTTAATTATGAGCACTCTGATCGAGTTTGTATTTTGTGGTCTCTTTTATGTAAATTAACGTATTTTGTTTTAAACAAAGTTTTAAATTCCCGGGGTTTTTCTTTAAGAGTCAAAGTTTGAAAAGTCAAAGTGACACCTCGGACTCGTATTCGAGTCGGGTACAGGTTGGGGTGTTACAAAAACTCCATACAAAGACACAAGCAACCAAACTACCCCTGTACACCAAAGCAACCCAACAACAAAAATAATAGAAAAACACATGCCCTAAACTCACAAGTAGCAAACAAAACTAACAAACACATACCCTAAACTCACAAGAAGCAAACAAAACTAACGCCAAGAACAACCAATAAAAGAATGGAAAGAACATAAACCTGTAGCAACAATAGAAGAATGAAAAACACAACCCTGAAGCAACAATAACTACGCACCAGAATCGCATATGCCCCAAACTTCACAAAGCAAACTACTGCCAGGCCCCCTAGCTTTAACCTTCATACCAAAAAATCTCAATCTCACTAACTCCCTTATTTAAAGACCAATATCCTCAACAGTTGTAGACCTACCTTGAAATATCATCTGATTATGCTCTTTCCAAATACATGCCACTGCACAATTCCAAAACATCCTCAAAACAATTCGGAAGAGAGCCCTCCCTTTCAAATGGTGACAAGCCCAAAGAAGCTCATGCTCCCAATCCAGGACTCTCCTATTCAGCTAACAAAACTGGAGGATACCTTCCTACACTGCTTTAGAAAACCCACAATCGAAGAAGAAATGATCCCTTGTTTCTTGTTTACTAGAGCAAACAACACAAAGATCGCCAATGGCCAAGTCGAAAGAGATGAGCCTGTTTTTAGTAGGGAACCTAGCAAGAACTGCCGTCCAAGAGATAATAGACACCTTGGGAATGTTCCTCGAGTGCCACACAAGCCTATCCTAAGTCACCTTATCACGCCTTACCTTCAACTCGCTCCAAATCCCCCGAATAGAAGAGCAAGAACTCCCAAGCAGCCCTTGGACCGACATCACCTTAGGTTGAAGCCTACAATTCTGGGGACATGACAACTGCCAAAATGAATTGTTTTTAATAATATAAGCATGAATCCAAGCCACCCAAATAGACTTGTCTTTAAGCAACAATTTTCAGATCAACTCAATCTTTCAAGCATGGTTCTAAACCTTCAAATCCTTAAGACCAAGCCCTCACTCGAACTTAGGAGAACAAACCTGCAACCAACTCACTCTAGCTCCTTTCGCAGGCTTGTCTTTACCCTTCCAAAAGAACCTAGAACAAAGTAGATTGAAGCGCTTAATGACCACGTCTGGAAGCATCAATTGAGAACTCCATAAATTCTCAATGCTATATATAAATACCTAGATAAGTTTAAGCCTGCCATCGTACGAAAGAAAATTAGCCTGCCAACCTTGCAGCCTAGCAACAATCTTCTCAACCAAAGGAATGTAGTCTTTAACAGACAAGCGTTTCGTAATGAGAGGAAGACCCAAATACCTGACAGGGAGCTTACCTCTATCTATACCCGTAATTTCAAGAATTTCTTGAAAAAGCATCAGTATTAACACCAAAAAAAGTTTTGACTTAGAAGCATTTAACTGTAGACCATAAAAATGATAAAATACCTTTACCACCTCCCAGACACCCAAAACAGAATCAATATTGCCCTTAGAGAAAACTAACAGGTCATCAAAAAAGTAGAGATTAGTAACCTGGACCCTATGACACTTCGGATCAGGGGCGGACCTATGTGGCCCACGAGGTAGCAGTTGCATACCCATTTTTCTTTAAAAAAATACCAACACTTAATATACTATATTAAAACTTCAAAATTATGCACACATTTTTTATTTTAGTTTTTATTTTTCTGCACATTTGTAGTTGAAATTTGTGCTCTTTTCTGCATACTTTGTTTTGTAGTTGAAATTTATGCTCGGAAGTTGTTAATCTATTCCATATTTTCAATTAAAAAACTAATTAAAATAATATATATTATTTAAAAACCTTTCATTTTAGCTATTACTAATACTAAAGCTTCTGTTTTGCGTTCAAACCCACATACTCTAACCCCACTTCTACTCAATTCTCATTTCTCAGTCTTTTGTTTGTGCCTAAACCACCTACCACGACGCCATTCACCGGTGATTTTCCGATGAACTTCCTCAATTAGGTCGCCGGTAAGTTATTGCTCATTTATTTTGGACCCCCATTTTTTAATTCCTGGATCTGCCATTGCTTCAGATGATACTGAATAACCCCATACTCTGCAAATTTATCCAACAACTTAGACATGACGTTCATGGTGATCATAAAAAGATAAGGTGACAAAAGATCCCCTTGACATACCCCCTTCTCCCCTTAAAGAAACCAACAAGACCCCCATTGAGAAAAATAGAAAATGAATTAGTGGTAACACATTGCTTAATCCAAGAAATCATTCCAATTAGA